TTTCTCCATTTTCGCATATCTCTACAACAATGTCAACATTCACATTCTCATATTCTCTTTTCAATGTTCATCCACAATATTAACACGTGTCATCAACACATCATCACAATTCTCATTTCACATACCATAACCAATTAGTCTCTTGAATATTACAAGTGACATATTTCAAATAAAACCCCCAATGTTTATACTTTTTCCACCATCTATGGTTTTCAATAATTAGTCACACCACAACCTTGCTTATTCAAGTATGAGCAAAATATTAATTTAACACCTCATTCTCATATATCAAGTAAATTTTCCATTTTGTAAAACATTGATGAAACTCACTCTCATTCATCCATTTTAACATGAGAAAATATAGAAATTCAAGGACATTTTTCCATTTTACGAAAACCCCCAAATTTCTAGGGTTTTCTTTTAAAAACAAGTTTTTCTCATCCCCTAAGAGAAACCCCATCAAATCATCTTTCACAAGTTTAATAGAGGGAAAAACTCTCAAGAAGTTGTAAAATAGTTGAGATACAAACCCACATTCCTAAATCTCTACATTTTGAACAAAATCTATAATCAACACAAAACTTCAAGAGCACTTTTAAATCAACACCCAAATAGCACAACTAGTATATATAACTCAAGAAATCCCTACTTCAAGCTTGTTAATGAAAGGTGAGATGAAGTCCTAGCTTTGAAAGATGAGAGAGAGCTTTGATTTCTTCCACCCAAGTGAAGCCCCAACCTAGATCTTCAAGATTTGAGGGAAAATGTTGATGATCTTGCTCCAAGAATCACAAGAATCAAAGAGTTTTGGGTGATTGAGGTGTTTTATAGAGAGAAGGAGGAGAGAAATTAGGTTTAGAATGAGAGAAAAATGAGTTAGAGGTGATATATATTCGGACCAAAATGTTGTAAGAAAACAGTTAGCCGCTCGTGCAGCCTTCTCCACCGCTCGTGCGGCCACCTTGGCTGCTTGTGCGGCCCACTTATCCGCTCATGCGCCCTTAGACAGTATGCAAATTCGGGGTGTCAAGCTTCACTGTTCGATCGGCCCTCCCCACCATTCAAGTGGCCCTCCTCCGCACATGTGGCCCTGGTCCAGCCACCCAAGTTTTCAACTTCGCTTCTGGGCACCTCGGATTCACCGCGCATCCTCCGGAATGACCGAAATTCAACACCGAAGAAAATAAGAATTATGAAACCATTTTTCGGACATTTCAGTACAATGAAAATAAAAAAGAAGACGAAGCGAAGAAAGGGAAAGAAAAGGAGAAAAGGGGCCGGTTGTCACAAATCACTAATTATCTTATCATCGGCTACTAAAACAAACTAAGTCGCCAATGGCCACTTTTTGGTGATGAAAGATTTAATCGCCGAAAGTAATTAAATCAGTATGGAATTCTCTTTCAACGACTAAAATATTTAGTCGCTAAAACGTCTTAGTCACTAATAATAATGCATTTAGCGACTACATATTTTAGTCACCGTTTTATGTCACTATTAGCCACCAAATAGTTTAGTCGCCGTTATGTTTCACGACCAAATATTTTAGTCGCCAAAAGAATTGGATATTTTTATTTTATTGCATTTTACGACCAAAAATTTTAATTGACGAAGGATGCCATGTTCTTTCATGACTAAAATATTTAGTCGGCAATAGTTTCTTCCCCCATCTTGATTTGTTTTGACTAACTATTTGATCACCAAAAGTCTTCTTTTTTTCTTTTTTTTTTGCTACTAAATATTTAGTTACCAAAAACCTTTACTTGCATTTTTGGCTACCAAATATTTAGTCACCAAAAACTTTATAATCTATTTTTTTTAATTAATTTCTCGACCACCTGTATTTATTCCATTATTAGTGCAACCTATACCTTGTATGCAAACAAAATAATCCATATACTGATTATATTATCAACCATTCTATAACATGCACACATTTCACTTTCAACCATCCAAAAAATTAATATTTAACATCAAATTCTAAATGTAATAGAAATTCCGTACAACTCAAGTATAATCCAACCTCAAAAATGTAATTCCATACAGAACAACAGATTAAACAAAAATCATGCCCACTATACACAAAAAATTGATATCCACAATATCATGTCAAAAGTAATCTGTACCACACCAAAAACTAATTTGTACCACGCCAAAATAAAATATATGCCACACAAAAAAAGTAATTTGTATGAACAATAGTAATCTATAAGACTAAAAACAATGTCCTTCGTACTTGTCAAAAAAAAAAAAAAAGTCATACCCACAATTCCACGCAGAGAACCATCTGTAAAAATAAAATTAATCATTAGTACTGACTAAATATTGGCATATTTAAAATTATAAAAGAAAATCATATAAAACTCAATTGTAATTATTTTTTTCAAATTAATCATTAGTTTTGCATACTCAAATGTATATAAAAGAAAATTATGTAAAACTCAAACGCATATATCAGGCAACCAGAAATATTTTACAAAGTAATAATTGTACATAATTAATTATTATTTTTTCATTTTTGAGCACCGAATGCCATTTTCAACTAAGTTGAAGGTGTTTTCGACCCTAACTCCCAACCTACGTGTCCTATATACATATTGTTTGTCGCCACAGGTCATATTTGGCACAGAGAAGTTGCCCGTTATATCCCAACAGTGGTTGGGGCGCTATTTTGCATTTTTGCTCCACAAATGCCATTTTCCGACTAAGTTTAAAATATTTTCGACTCTAACTCTCAATCTACGTGTCCTATTTACGTACCATTAGTTCTCACAATTCATTTTTGGCACAAGGAAACTGCTTGTTACATCCCAATAGTGGTTGGGGGGCTATTTTGCATTTTTGGCCCTTGAATACCCTTTTTCAACTAAGTTTAAGGCATTTTCAACTCTAACTCACAATCTACGTGTTCTATTTGCGTACCATCTGTTATCACACGTCATTTTTTACGCGAGGAAGCTGCCCGTTACGTCTTACTAGTGGTTGGAGGGCTGTTTTACATTTTTGCCTCCCGAACCCCATTTTTGGACTAAGTTTAAGATGTTTTCGATTCCAACTCTCTATTTACGTCTCTTATTTATGTACTATTAGTTCTCACAGGTCATTCTTGGCACGAGGAAGTTGCCCGTTATATCACAATAATAGTTGGGGAACTGTTTTGCATTTTCACAAACTATAGTTTTTCATGATACTGCACCTCTAGCAACACATGTTCCACAAAATGTTTCATATAACCCATGAATTAATCAAAAAAGAGGACCCTTTTATAGTTTAAAAAAAAATGTAAGGAAAAAAGATGATCTAATAAAAAGAAAGAAACATAAAGAGACAACCTCAGACTAAATTGCACTAAATTATACTTGAAAACTTTCTTATAAACAACTAAAAAAGCTTAAGGGGTCGATGGGCAATGGATTATAGCAACTCAAACTTGTATTTTCATGATGAGAGATGAAGCAATCAGGAGATAGGAGTGAGGTCAGAGCACACAGCAGCAACAAGGAGAGGGGTTGTTGCCTTTCTTTTCTTTGTAGGCTCAAATAATACAAATGAAGCCAAGTCCAAGACCTAAAGAGACAACCGCATCAATGCCGAGAGAGAGAGAGAGAGAGAGAGAGAGAGAGAGACTCTAGCAACAAAATAACATAAAAAATAGAGTAAATTACACTTTAACTCCCTGTGATTTATCCAAAAAACATGAAGCCCTCTTATAATTTCATTTATAACATTTAAACCCCCTAAACTTCATACCAAAATGCAATTTCGGATGAAACTGTTTGTTTCGACAGAGCATGTGTTATACAACCATAAAACCAAAATTTCCCCCCCATCAACCACACTAGATAATCCTTTACCTTCTTCTTCTTCCCAAGTTTTTTGAAAACTAGAGATGTTGGTTCTCTCTCTAAAATGCTTCCCTCTCTCTCTCTCTCTAGCTTATCTCCTTCATTTCTCCATCTTCCTTTTCATTTTTGTTTCATTATTCTTCTAAAATTTATATCTATGATTCTCTTAACTCAAATAAAGTTAACCTAGAAATTAAAATCTATGTTTATCATTCTCTACCATGGCAACCACCATCATCCTCCATCTTCTCTTTATCACTATAAACACACATACATTATATACATAGGTATACCCAATTAACTAAGCCAAGACCCAAAATGTAGTGGTGGCTACCAGTATGGTCCTATGAGAGGAGAAGGTGGTGGTTGCTAGTTGAGTGGAGGATTTGTGATGAGCTTGGTAGGTGTTTGCAATTATGGACTATTTGTGTGGGTCTAAATTCTAGAGAGAGGGAGATGAGCGTTTGGGTCTAAATTCTAGAGAGAGAGATATGTATTTGATGATGGTATAAGAGGTGTGGGGTTTGCCATGGGATGAGAAAGAAATGAGAGAAGAAGAAGAGGAAAATAATATATAAAAATTAAAGAAAAATGGGAGAGATTATTCTGGTTTGTAATAACATTAAGAAGAAAATTACGGAAATAAATAAGGGTAATTTAGACTTTTTACAACTCATATTATGTCTGTCCAAAATTGTACTTTGATATAAAATTCTAGAGGTTTAAATGTTACAAATAAAATTATAGGAGAGCTCCATATTTTTTAGATAAACTACAACGGAAAATGAGAAAGGCATAGTTTCCTTGCAATTTCCTATACTCATATTTTATTATTTAAGATAGGGTAATTACATTTTTTTTTTCCTTATATTTGGTAATTTTTCACTTTGGTTTTTAATATGTTTTTTTTTGGTCCTTTATGTTTTAAGGTTTTTTCAACTCACACAAAAAATTAACTTATATCCAAAATTAGACAGAAAATGATACATTAATAACCATGTGACATAAAAATTTTATTATATATAACTTACACCTCTAATATAAATTTAAACCATAATATAATAATATATTTTTTATGATAAGATTACTCTATAAATTGCAAGCTTATCTCAGAAAAATGTATCATCTCATTACTTTTTGTTGTTGTACAAACAGATCTCTTACAATGTTTTGGTGAATGCATTCTACAATTTCTTTAAATAAAGGTAACTTCTGCCTACTTTAATCTTCAATTCTTATCATCAATTATGTTAAAGCATATTTAGATTAAATTATTTTTCATATTTGTTAGATTTGCATATTTCTATTCGTTTTCTTATTCTTATAGTTTCTTGATTAGCACTCCATATATAAGTCCTATATACACCTATTGTAATTCAATACAACAATAGTATACAACATTTTTCAATATATAGATATTATCTTCTCTCTCCCTCTCTCCCTCTATTTTCTCTTTTCTCCTTTTATACAATTATCTTAATATGGTATCAAAGCTATAAGATCTAACCTATCTTTTTGGTTCATCAATGAGCAGTCGATTGACAACCTTACATTCCCTACCCGCTGGTGTTTCAGCACATACCGGTGTTAATCCCAATCTCTAACAGCCAATCAACCACCACCTCTGCTACAGGCGTCAAATCTCAATCTTCCGCTCCTCCAATCTAGATCTAAATCAGAATCAAAATTCTTTTTTTTTATTTTTTGTGCTTCCACACTCTCTCTCAGTTCTCTCCCTTTCAACCTCAAACAAGTTTCTATTTTAAAATCTATTTGAGTTTGAGGGGGGTAATATACCTATATCATGGTGAGCATGGTGATATACCATGTGAACCATCCAAGCCGCCCCTTAGCGCACTACCTAAGTTGCCCTCTAACGCACCATGTCAACCCCCTAGAGCACTCTTTCATTTGTTGCTATCACCGTTCAACACCATGTCATAAGTTACGTGTGTGACACGTTTGCTGGTTCAACACTCGTTCCTTTTTAAGCGCCTCTCAAGGCCCATTACATCAGTCGCTTTCGAAGGCCCCTCTCACGGTGAACACACCGTTAAAAATCCCCCCTAGAAGGTCCTTATCATTTGACCTAGCAGTAGACTCTTCTCAATCACACTTAGCAGGCTCTTATTGTTTGCCCTAGTAGCACACTATTCTCAATCGCCCCTAGCAAGCTCTTTTTGTTTGCCCTAGTAGCACACTATTCTCAATCGCCCCTAGCAAGCTCTTTCATTTGCCCTAACAGTAGTCTCTTCTCAATCACCATTAGCAGACCATTATCATTTACCCTAGTAGCAGACTGTCCTCAATCGCCCCTAGCAGGCTCTTTCGCTTACCGTACACAGCAAACTCTCTTTTTTATTTTTTGTTTTGTTCTTTCAAACTCAAGTTAGTTTAGCTACTTGAGTTTGAGGAGTGATGTTAAAGTATATCTAGAATATATTATTTGTTAGGTTTCCATATTTCTATAAGTTTCCTTATTATCGTGGTTTCTTCATTAGCACTCCAAATAAGTCCTATATATAAGCCACCCATTGTAATAGTTCAATACAACAATATTATACAACATTATCCACTATATAGATATTCTCTTTTCTTTCTCTCTTTTCTCTTTTCTCTCTCTCTCTCTCTCTTTATATAATTATCTTAACAAATTAATTGGATTATTGGCAAAGTTCATTTTATATAACCAGAAAGTCCCTATTTAATTTTGGATTAAAATCTAACTATTATTTTTTTTTTCCATTCAAACTAACGGAAGTTGTATCACACACAATTTTTTAGAGACATAATTTCCTAAAAAAATAAACTGAAATTAACATAACAAAAAGACAATTTTACTTCCATCTTCTCCAAACCTAAAATTAGATTAAGATGTTGATTAAAATATAATATAATTAAAATATAAAATCAGTGATTTAAAATATAATTAAATTAAAATATAAAATAAATAATAATTAAGGATTGATCTAAAATATAATTAAATTAAAATTAGAATAAGATGATAGAAATTACAATAAATAATTAAGAAAATATGATTAATTATGATCTAAAATATAATTAATTAAAATTAGAATAAAAATGTAGGAATTATAATAAATAATTAAGGATTTAGAATTAATTATAAAATATAATTAAATTAAATTTAGATTAAAAAGTAGATTATGAATTACAATAAACAATTAGGAATTTATGATTGATTGTGATTTAATTGAATTAATGTTAGAAATTATAAATTATGTATAAAAACTACGCACGAGTCCAAGATTTTTCAAACCCGGTTAAATCTAACACCAAGTTGTAACGTCCCAACTTTTATTACTCGGATATTGTTACCAATTTCCATCTTAAGATCCAATTATAAAATAATGAAATGCAGAATCAATATGAAAAGAATGATTAAAAGATATTGTCTCCCGTATGATATAAATGGTGAAATACTCAAATACAATGATTTCAAGAAATGCCCTTAAGCTTACATTTGAGAAGTACATAATAAAATAATTACAAAGAAAAGAATCTATTCTTTTATAACATATTGACATTTCGCCTACAATTAACAAATTTGTTTTTTATATATATTTTAAAGGAAAAATTGGTAGTAAATCCAATAATCCAATCTAAGGAATGTATAAATAATTAGGTACGGTGAATATTTGTCCACCGTTTGTGAAATAGTCTAGTGAGAAGTCCTTTTATTAATTTAGGAGGACATTTTGTTTCCAATTTTAACCCTTAATTTATCTGTTGACTTTTTTTCACTATCTGTTCAAATTATTTTCTATCTATTCAAATTTGTATCTATCTGTTCAAATTTTTTGACTATCTATTCAAGTATTTTATCTGTTTAAAAAATTTTCAACTGTACAATTTTTTTAGCTATTGAAAAAAAATTATCTATTCAATTTTTTATCTTTATTTGTTCAAATTCTCATACATACACAAATAGAGAGAGAGAGAGAGAGAGAGAGAGAGAGAGAGAGAGAGAGAGGTCCTATAATTTTCTCTATTCAAATTTTGAACATATATGTTCAAACAACAATTTTTTTTTTTTATCTATTCACTCTCTTAGCTATTTGTGCAAAAAAAAAAATAGTTTTTTGTTTATTTGTTCATTTGCAATCTATTTCTAATTTTTTTTTAAATTGTTTAGTAAACAAAGCCGTCATTTCGGATTCTAGACCAATTTCAGTCTTCAAATTCTTGACAAACTCATGAGTGCTAGAAAAAGCCACAGTATCTTCTTGTTTTTTTCTTTGAAATCAAGTTTGCTTCAATAGTTTGGAAGTTCCTAACCAATTGGTCGAGTTTGAGGTTATTAACATCCCAAGCCTCCTCTATAACAGTAACTTTTGATTGAAACCTATTGGATAATGATTCAAATTTTTTCCAATCACACGAGATTCAGGGATTTTCTCACCGAGTGTGAAACAAGAATTCACGATATCACTGAGTTTTGCATAAAATTCATCAAACGTTTCATTCTCATGTATAAAAAACGTTTCAAAAGCGGCGGTGAGACATTGAAGTTTTAATCTTTTGACAGAAGTAGTACCCTCATGAATTAATCATTTCAAGGATATCCCAAGCCTTACTGTTCCGGAGTGACATAGCAAAAGAGGGAGTTGAGAGCCTTACTATTCTAACTCGCATTTTGATAATCAATTGTATCCTATTTATCAACTAGTTTGGGAATATCTACACCATCAATGGTCAAAGCATGTTCACTCCACCCATAAATAACAAAATGCCAAACTTTTTCATCAATAGATTTTAAAAATGCCCTCATACGAGCTTTCCAATATGAGTAGTTTGTTCCGTTAAGCAAAGTGGGGCCTATGGGTCGAGTTACCTTCATGAATTGAATCCATTATCACAAATTACACAAAATCACACTCCTATACGAGGTATTGGGTACTTGTTCTTAACAGTTACCCGGTTCAACTTCCGGTAATCTATACAAAGTCACAATGCACCATCTTTCTTTTTAGCAAAAAGAGTCGGCCCTCCCCAAGGTGAAGTACTAGGGCAGATAAAACCCTTATCTAACAATTCTTGGAGTTGAATCTTCAACTCACTCAACTCGGTAGGTGCAAATCTATACAGTGTCATAGAAATTGGTGCCATGCCAAGATCTGAATCAATAGACAACTTGATCCCTCGATAAGGTGGTAAACTAGTAAGATCCTCGGGAAAAACGTCCGAGTATTCACAAACCACCCTTGGCAACTCAACTCGGACTTCATAACACTCAATACTCAAGAAGTTGGCAAGAAGGCAACTAAGCTCACTCCACCCACGCAGATCATACACCGGTGATAAAACTCTATCAACCTAGTCCCCAAGAAATTAAAGCAATCACCGCTCAGGGTACATACAGTAACCCTCTGATGGTAGTAATCTATAATTGCTCGATATGATAACAACTAATCCATTCCCAAAATAACATCAAAACTAGACATATCAATCAGCACTAGGGGTGTTCGCGCATCGGTTTTGTGCAGTTTGCGGTTCAGTTTTGACCCGCCCGCATCTATGCTGTTTGGGAAAAAGTCAACCCGCAACCGCCTGCAGTGCGGTTTGCGGTTTGCGTGGATAGGGTTTGCAAATGTGCGGGCGGTTGCGGGCGGTTTGCAGTTTACACTTTTTTCTTTAAAAATTAATTTTTGAGTTTTTTTTCCCATTGAATTTAGGTATCAGATTCATTTTATATATTTGTGATAACAATTTTTTGATGAGTTTACAAATAAAAATTGAATATTAATGCATTAAATGAAAGTATCCAAAACAAAGAGACCCTACACTAGCATTTTTGCCATGAAAAAAATGTATATCAATGCATTAAAGGTTGTACTCAATTAGAATGACTTGTTCATTAATCAATAATCAAACTAGAAGTTCCATCGACCACCAGAAGGAAAATTTTATTAGGAAAAAGTGGATGAATCACCAATGAAAATCATATAAGAAACCAAGTTTAAGACTTGATAATTCTACAGCATTAAGAAAGTTGAAAAATACTTAAAAATAAGGATCCTAGTGTCATAGAGAATATAATGGTGCTCCTGTAAAAGTTACAAAGTTGGTATATAAAAAAAATAATAACAATAATTAAAGTGCGGGCGGTTTTTTGTGAGTTTAAACCGCGAACCCGCCCGCAACCCGCAACTTTGTCATATTTCAAACCGCATCCGCCCGCATTATGTT